TGACAAGTGGCTTTATGGCTTAATCATAATTTTTTTCTTCTTCTAATAAATAATGGAAAATAATTTGCTGTGGAAGCTAACATTACATTCACTTCAACTTCCCAGCTCTTTAGAAGAATGGAAGGATAAAAATTACTTCTAGTCCATCAAAACTAAACAAGATTAAGTTTAAGGATGAATTTTTTAAAAGTACAACTTAACAGATATTAGCATGCATGGACTAAATATTTACTGAGCTTCTAACATATATTTAATATTTCATTAAACACTGCACATGAAGTTTTTAAACTTTCTGGGAGTCTATAATCTAGCTGGTCGGTGAAAGAAATGCATGTGATCCAACTAACAAATAATGCAGGACAGTATAATCTAGTATTACACCAGGTTAATACCATGTCATTGCTACTAATAACTGAATTGATATTTAGAATTTAGTTGAGTGCCATGCTAATGTTTAAATCCCAAACCATTAGAGCTGCTAATACTGTCATGCACTAACAGATCAATTTCAGGATCACTGCTGTTTTTTGACCCACTGAAATGAGAGATTCTTGAAGCTGTCCATAGGTGCAAAACATGTCCAGAAATACTCACTTCAGATAGATTTAGATCCAAGAAATAGGATTTTTAGGAACTATAATTTCTACAGATGTGGACTGAGACTTATGGTTAATTTTCCAATATAAAGCAAAGGAGTGGTTTAAAGCCAGAATATTTAAAATATATCTTAATCAACTAAGATGATACAGTCCAGCTACATCCCTTACATCTTCCTCTGGTATATTCAAATTGGATTCACTAGTAAGATTTCCTTATTGCTAGTCTTTTTCCTGTATAACAAAGGAATTATTCAGATAATTCAGGCAAATCCCTTCCACTCCTGCCTCAGTCCAGCAACATTTTGAATAAACCAAGATGAATCAGACAAAATCAAGTTATTTTGTGTTCAGCGTAACTATTCAGATAATTATCTTAACCCTCCATTTCACTTTGGTTGTGAGGATAAGGTCCTAAAAGACTTATCAGCCAGAAACAGCACTTAAAAACATATGTGCAAGAGCAGGGAAGCTCCTAGTCAGTCTAGTGTAAGTGAACACCATGTATAAAACTCATCATCTGGAGGTTATTCATTTGGATTAGTAAAGTGTTCATATTTCAGAAGTGTATTTTCCTATTTTAAAGTATTCATCTTAGACTGTGTGCGCGCTCAGTCACATCTGACTCTTTGCGACACCATGAACTCCAGACAGCCAGGTTCCTCTGTCCATGGAATTTTTCAGGCAAGAATACTGGAGTGGGTTGCCATTTCCTACTCCAGGGGATCTTCCTGACTCAAGGATTGAACCCATGTCTCCTGCATCGCCTGCAATGGCAGGCAGATTCTTTACCACTGCACCACCCGGGAAAATCATTCATCTTAGGGTTTAAAATAAAGAGAATTCTTTCAGTGTATTTATGAAGATTTGATTTACACGCCAGTTTTTCAGAATCGCATCAGTTTAAAATAGAACAAACAAAAAAACAGAATGATATTTTAAATACCTGTTTATTCCAAGATTTCTGCTCAAATACCTTCCTCTGCCTGACTTATCTATTTAGCTCAAGAGGAAGAGGGACTGGGGTTAAACCCGGGTAGACCATCCCTACTGTCCTAATTACCCAAACAATTCCCAATTCTCTCCTCACAATGCACTAGAAGCACTGGTAAAAGAGAAGACAGTACCATCTAAAACTACTCTCCTAGGTACTTTTCAGCATCCCCACAATCAAAAATCCCTGAGTAACTTGTAAATTTACATTCCAAATCCCAACGGCACAGCTACCAACAGTACCTCATCCCTTTGCAATCTTTCTCTTTTTCTTTAAACAAGAAAACCTTATGTTACTGGAGAGATTATTGAAAGAGTCTCCTTGTAAGTTCATGAATGCCACTTCACAGACTGTACAGAAAGCAAAGCTCTATGAACGGGACAATGGAGTCAACTCATCATTTTGAAAAGCTCAGCATCAGACTTAGAGAGAATCTAAAATTGTTCCAATTCCTAGGTCTCTGTTAAAACATAATGAGCCCAAGCTTTTGCCACTGTGAATCCATGGCACATTCATACTAGGAGGCAAGTTTACAGCACAAAGGGTAGTCATGTTGAAAATCAGAACTAAACTTTGACACTGAATTAAATACTTTATTTTTTCAAACTACTCAGTAAGACCATCTGCTTATTTTTGAAATATTTTCTTCTCAGTGATGTATCTGAAGTAAGTACCTTTAAAATAAAACAACTAAGTAAATACCAAGGACCAATATTAAATATAATCTTAGAAATTAAACAAAAAGCCAAATATAAATTAAAGAAATGCTGAAGATTTCTGCAGACTCACAATATCTTGTTAATTGCAAAGACATGTGGGGGGGTTGGTGCTAGAAAAGTTATGCTTACTAGAAAACTGAAAAAGCTGGGGGATGTTATTAAAAGGAACACTCTAGAAAACTAAGATAAGGCAAATCACACTCAAAATTAAAACTTATAACAGTACTCCTAAAATGCACAACCGCGGATGCACTGTCGCCTATGTAAATGATGCCCCCTGGAGTTGTGCCCAAAGGGTCCCCTATACGGAATACAATGTGATTAGTGCCTCACAGATTAACAACACAGTTGTATTTTTTGATAATGCAAAAAGTTATCATTGTGAAACATCATTTTAGGGTATGTCAAATGTCTAAATATTGAACCATTCTGTTTTGGATCCTGGAGTCTACTAGTTAATTTCTTACTCTGAAATGAGTTGATTATAAATTTGTATTTGGAATAAGCCCTTTATTAAACAGGTCAGTAACACTGAAATTAGACCCTTTTTAGTGTTTTAAAATATGGAAATCCATGTTTCTATACAAATGGAAAGATATGTTTCACAGAAAAGATACAAAAGTTTATATATTTTCTAGAAGTGACCAGGTGTTAAGTCTACTGCTTCCCTAGTGATAAGTCTTTAAGTAAGCCTGTTACACAGATCAGCAAAGTAATTCCTGTTTTAATCAAGGAAAGAAAATAACTTCATTTTTCCAAAAAGGAGAAAAGGAGGTATACGACACCTCTAATATCAGTTTTAAAAAAAAGACAATCTAAATTTATTTTTTTTTTACATTAGTATGTGAAAAGACTGAAGAGCTCAGACCTCCCAGAATAAGAAAATTGCTAGAAAGTTACTTGGAATCACCCACAGACAATAACTGTCAGTGGTTTCATTTCAGGCAATGGGCTTGTGCCAAAAGGGACTGACATCTTGATGAAAGGATCACCAAAAAGTTGTGAGAATTTTTCCATGACTAAAAATCCTTCCAAGAGCAACAAACTGACTTCTCATTCTGCCACCATAAATAGACGACAACTGTAAGAAATTGACAACATGTAACAATAATTCGAATTTGTTCTTCTGCATTCCAATCGTTCCAACTTTCATTCTTGGCTTTGGCATACATGCTTACTCCGCTCACTACTATGGAAACATGATATTTATTCTTTAAGCTTGATCTATAGGACTAATTTTGGCAGAATCAGTGGTCAGACTGATGTTTAACCAAACTGGTCACCTGACATTACAACACACATGAATCTTCATACCCTCTTTATCCCAGGGTAAGGTTCTGGGATAAAGAGCCACAGGACAAGGTGACGTGACCAATCACAGTAAAAGATAAAGAAATAAACAAAAATATTTTGCAGTCGGTTATTTTATTACCATCCTAGAACCCTGTGACAATGGATAGTTAGGAATTTAATATCTACTTAGGAACCATTTGCACAAAACCTACTGATTAATTTTCTGTTTATCCCTTTTGCCTTCTACCTTAAGTTCCTTAATTTGGTCATTATCAACCTATGCCCAAGCAAGATCTATTTTATTTGATGCTTTGACACCCACCTGTTGAAATGACAAGTGAGGCATACACAAAAAATAAAGAGCTTACTTATTAACAGAATTCAAACAGAATTCATTTAACTGCTTCTGACTCACTTTTCTCCTTGGAAGTTTATACTTGGATTGCTCTCAAAAAAAACATCAAGTATATCGGATTCAATTTTGATTCATTAAATTCCTCCCTCCTTTAAAAGAAAAAACGAAAACTAAATTTGGAAACCACACACTCAAAGTGGCAAAGAAGTGTTTTAAAGAGCATAAACATCTGCAGTAGGACATGCTGTACTTAACTAAAAAGTTTCATGACATTTCTGTTCTTTTTTTCAGTTCAACTTCATTTCCAGAGAGGAAGTTTTTCAAAAAAGATTAATACATGTATTCAACTGTTTTTAATGTGTATTTTCATCTATTTCTTTAATCCATCATCGAACACTAAGCTGCCTCCTCTGTGGATCATAATGCTTGTCAGAAATAGTTACACCTTGATTTAGAGGATAACATGCTTATCTTCTAAATCTGAGCAGATGTCTCTCATAAATGAAGTTATAAATCAACAACAATAAAACGGTAATTATATTTGGGAGACAATAGCGTGTATTAACATAAAAGTCCATGCTCTACATATATACCGCTTTAGCATACACTATAGCTGTTGGATTAGCTGGACACAGACTCCTAGTCTTGGGATAAGTTCTGGCTCTCTCTACTAGAAGACCCATTGCTTTGTTTGAGCCCCATTGCTTGCCACCTCTTCCACGCATGTCACAATTTATCACCCTTCTTAAACAACAGGACAGTTTCTGTTGTTCAAGTTAAAAATTTTTCACTTCTGAAAGGAATTTCAGTTTTCTATTCAAAACGATTGAAAATCAAAAGATCTCATTCCTAATTCATCACATCCAATTAATATAAATTGCTGTACTGCAGAAGCTCGCCAGGCTGGATAGGAACCTCTGAAAGGTCATATCGGGTAGAAACAATGAAGGGTTCAGGGGAAATGAAGGTGAGTGGTTGCTATTTATAAGGAATAAAGACTGGTAAGAAGCAATTGAGAATCTCCTCTGATGACCAATTCTTACCATTTTGAGAATCCTTAACAGTCTTGGCCTTGCACCCTCCCTCTCTTCAGTCCAAGGAGACCAACCAACCTGCAAAATATGTTTAAATACAGTAGACAAATTGCCTTACCATATGTCAGCAAATGAGAAATGGTTGTTTAGAGGTTACAGACAAATAATCATTTTCTGTGGTTAAGCTCAGTTACATGCAAATTATTGTAACCACTGGGGCTTCTGAAAGCTTTTCAATCGGTCTGCAGGCTTAAATAGGGGACAAAGGAATCCCTGGTACCTGGCTTTGCAGAGTCCTGGGCTATTCTTAGTGTTGGGTTCATCTTTAAATTGCAGGAGTTCAAAAGGTTTAATAACTTAAAAGTAGAACCAAGTGATAAAAATAGATTGTTTTCTGGCCGCTCTTTGTTCCCAGACATACTACTGGCAGTATATTTGCAATCAAGACAGCAGAATACGAATCAGCCTTCCACCGTGTAGTGTAATGCCTCAGAGTGGATATTTTTGGAAATGGCACTGCATTACATAACCTTCCGTGTTTAAAAAAAAAAAAAAAAACTACACTAAGGGGGGAAAGTCAGGAATATACACCCTTATGCCCTTCTCCCTAAACCAAATAAACATTAATATACGTGCTGCGGTGATTTTCCTCTCAACCCTCGTGTCAGAATACAGTTCTTTTGTTAACATAAGTTATGACAAAAATTAAGATGAATGGAGAAACAAAGTTCTCTAACAGGGTATTATAAGCTCTTCGAGTTTTCCTATAATGGTATTACAGACACACAGAAATGCAAATCAGATTATCATCATCATCAAGCAAAAAGCAGTCACTTATTTTTAAGCCATCTCTCCCCCAAAGTTCAGCTGCTTTATAAGAAAATGCAGAAAAAAAGTGTTGCAAGATCGAATGCCTGAAAAGACCCTTGGAGGCGCAGCAGCTTTGAAAGAGTAATAAAGACTAAGGATGGAGGAACACAAATCCACTTTATAAAAGGGGAGGGGGGTGTGCATGCACCAAAGTGCATTTAATGCAAAGAAACAAAACAGTTCCTAACAATGCTTTATTAGCAAGAAGAACAAAAATTAATCACACCGACTAGCGAAAAACCCCACCCCTTCCCTACAGATTTCTCCCTCTTAACTTGTGCATTAGGAAAAAAGAAAAAAAAAACACCCAAGTCAAATTCCAGCCTTAATGCAGCGGGACCAAAATGCCAGAATTTCTCTAAGTACAGGCTTCCGTTCTTTAAAATTTAGAGGGAAGAAGCATGAACTCTGCAGGGTCAGAGTACAGCAAAGAGCAACGGCGAGAAATCGACACAAAAGAGAAAGCAGCGCTCCCGGCCGGGGATGGGAACGGCATATACTTACAGACAAAAGCCCCGTTCCCTGCTCACTCTCTCCTCTCTACACCTGAAACACAAATGTGGATGAAAAGGGGTATCATGCTAGAAAGACAACTGGGGAGGGGGTGGGGGAGGGGGCGGGGGGAGGGAAAGGGGTGGAGGAAAAGGAGGGAGGAGGGGGAAGGGAAACAAAACCCAAACCGGCTTCACTTCCAAGAAGTGCAGCCTTGGAAGAAGAAGGAGGGGGAAGGTCTCCCTGCCTCGCGCTCTCTCTCCAAGAGTGTGTGCCTCTCTCTCTAAGAGTCAGTTTCTCTCTCTCTCTCTCTCTGCTGCTAGTGTGCTAGTGAACAATGAGCTAATTCTGATGGGCTGGCGCCGCGCCAGCACCCCAGCCTCGCTGCCACTGTGCGGCCGCGGCGGAGCCAGACTGCTTACTCGGCAGGAATCGGCGACTCGGGGCCCGGTCGGCAAGCGGCCAACGCGCGCGCGCCCCGGCCCCCCGCGCCCCGGGAACCCCGAGCGCCGCGCCGCCCCCCGCGCCTGCCGGGCCCGGGGACAAAGGGGCCCGCGGCTCCGCGCGCCGCCCCGGCCCCGCCCCCGGAGCGCGGCGCGCACACACCCGGCCCGGCCTCTCCCGCCCCTGGCGGGCTTCTCCGCCTGGACGTGCGGTTGCTTTTCAGACAAATAAGGAGGCGGAGGAGGCGGTTTGGGGGCGCGCCAGGCGTGAAGGCGGCCAGGGCGCTGCACAGCCCGGCGGCTGGCCAGGGCCCCGGGGAGAGGCGGCGCGGCCGGTACTGTAATAATAAACCTGCAGCAGAGGGCATCTGAGGGAAAGAGGACGGCGACCGGCGGCAGCCGCCTTCCCTTTTATGTGCCTGTCCGGAGCGGAGCAGAAAATGGGGCCCGCGGCGGCGCGGAGCCGCACAGACACACAAAGAGCCGCCTCGCCCGCGTTTGCGCACGGCCCGGGCCGGCCCCGCCGGGTACGCGCGCCCCGCTCCCGGCAGCGAGGGAGCCCGCCGCCCAGAACCCCCGTGGCCCTGTGGCTGCGCGCGCACACACACACACACACGCGTGCGTGCACGGTCACACGCGTGCACAGACAGCTAGAGGCTGAGACCTGGTGTGATCAGCACAAGACACCCTCCCCAAGTGCTCCCTTCTCCCAGAAGGATTCAGTAGGTTCCCACTCTCAGCCCTTCTGAAATGGTACTCTTGAAAACTGGAGATTGCATTTTAAAAGAGGTTCTTTGCATTTCTGATTTTTTAAAAAAACCTTATGTTTCTTACTTAAAATATGACTGTCTTTTTTACAGTAATTTAAAAGCTCAGATTTTTGCTACAAATTCGAACAAACTGATTTTGTTGCCAACCAAACAGGATATAATTTTATGGTAATTGTCACATGTTAGAGGGCAGTACTATTTCCTAATTCAATTCCTTTGCCAAGAAAAAAGATATGAAGGATCATAATGTCTTCTAAATTTGCCATCAACATTTTACTTCTGATCACTGAAAGCAATGTTTTCCATTATAGCAATCAAAAGAAAAGGCGGATGGACTTACAAAAACTAAGTTCTTAAACATTTCACTACGAAAGTAGCAGCAAATACTGATTAGACTGCTAGTGGGTGTAATGTTTAAGGGGCCCACTTGGAGCTTCCCTGAATCAATCTAAAACATCACAGATATTTCCCTAAGGACCACAAGAAACGTACCTTGGAACCATAACTAGGAACAAAAGGAAAAAACAAGTCTCCGTGAATTTTCCCAATGCCTTCAGGGCCAGTGTTCAGCTGCCCAGAAAATGGTGGAAGGCAGCTCTGGGGAGTAAATGGGGCACTGGGATAGGGCAGAAGCCTGGGGGCTGCCTCGGTAGGTCTGAAGCCCCCAGGAGGCTGGTAAAGGGCACCCAACACTGAGATCTTAGGCGTTAACCTCAGAGTCAGATTTGAAACCCGAGAGAGCACTGCCACATGGACCGAAAATCTATCCCAGGAAAATGTGTTCACGTTATTTCTCCAAGAAAGCATTTCTCCAGACACCCACACACACATTGACTTTATTTTTTTCATTTATTTTAATTGGAGGCTAATTACTTTACACTATTGTGGTGGTTTTGCCATACATTGACATGAATCAGCCATGGGTGGACATGTGTCCCCATCCTGAACCCCCTCCCACCTCCCTCCCCATCCCACCCCTCAGGGTCATCCCAGGGCACCAGCCCTGAGCACCCCGTCTCATGCATCGAGCCTGGACTGGCGATCTGTTTCACATATGATAATATACATGTTTCAGTGCTATTCTCTCAAATCATCCCACCCTCGCCTTCTCCCACAGAGTCCAAAAGTCTGTTCTTTACATCTGTGTCTCTTGCTGTCTCGCATATAGGATCATCGTTACCATTTTTCTAAATTCCATATATATCTGTTAATATACTATATTGGTGTTTTTCTTTCTGACTTACTTCGATCTGTATAATAGGCTCCAGTTTCATCCACCTCATTAGAGCTGATTCAAACGCATTCTTTTTAATAGCTGAGTAATAGTCCATTGTGTATATGTACCACAGATTTCTTATCCATTCATCTGCCGATGGACATCTAAGTTGCTTCCATGTTCTGGCTATTGTAAACAGTGCTTCAGTGAGCTTTGGGGTACACGTGTCTTTTTCAATTCTGGTTTCCTCGGACACACATTGACTTTAGAGTTTACACAAAACTTACCTAAGATGATGTCCGTTCAAAACACAGGGAAATTTGTAAATTGTAATATGCTAATTTTTCTTCATGTGTAATCACAGACATCTAGGTGACACAGATTTTTCAAGAAATAAGAAGAATGGGTCAGAATCATAATCTACTTACTGTGTTCCAGAAAAGCATTGCAAACCAACTATAGGAAACATTCTTGAGTCCTCTGAGTGTAGGAGACTACACTAACCACTAGGGACATGCCTGGGGCCCCCACCATGTCACCTCACCCAAGAAATGTAGCAATAGCTGTCTCACTTGCTCCTGGCTGTCATGCTCTGTACCACTCCCATCTATCCTGTGGGTGATATGGTAGATCCACTGTCCTGAAATGCTTTTTAATCCCTGCTCCATTATAGTACAAAGACCATACATACCTACTCTTCTACTTAAAATTCGCCACAATGTGACCACAATCTAACTTTCTAGTTTTATCATCCCATTTCTTTCCCAGTCATGGTTTATCAGTCCTTTGCTTCTGTATGATTCATTACTTAGGGCCTATATTCATTCCGCCATCATTAACAGTTAGGAAACAAACTGATACAAACACTAACAAACCAAAATGCCTCAACTTCAGGGATATTTTGACATCTGGGGTCAGATGACTCTTCGATGGGGACAAGGGACCCAATGAGGAGGATAGAGGGGACCATCCAGTTCACTGCAGGATGTTTAGCAACACCTCTGGCCTCTATTAATTGGATGCCCATCTCAAATCCTAGTTAGGACAACCAAATATGTGTCCACAGATGGTCAAATATTCTTCTGAGGGTCAAACTCACCTCTGGGTGATAATCGCTGGTTAAACAATCAGATCCATTTCTGAAGGAGCTGGCTTCTCTTTAGCTATGTGGACTGCATGCACAAGGTACAGAGACCTGAACAAAACTGAGGCTTTCTTAGGAAAGAGGAAAAATAAGAAGGCGATGTCTTTATTTTGGAATTTATCAACTACGTTAAGATGACAGGGATACAATCAAAGCCAAAGTTATGGCGCATTGTGATAAGGACAGTTCTTGAGTTCTACAGAGGGTACACGGTGAACACAAAGGCTTCTTTATAAAGATTCAATGCTTCCTAAAGGAAGTGATGCTTAAAACTGAATTGGTGAAGAGTGACCAAAAGGCAGTAAATTAAAGAAGAAGGAAGACACATTCCAGCAGAGGCGGGGAGGAAGAGACCATGAACTAAGACATTTGATCCATCAATTCAGTTCAGTTTAGCCGCTCGGTCTTGTCCGACTCTGCCACACCAAGGACTGCAGCACGCCAGGCCTCCCTGGCCATCACCAACTCCCAGAGCTTGCTGAAACTCATGTCCATTGAGTCGGTGATGCCATCCAACCATCTCATCTTCTGTCATCCCCTTCTCCCCCACCTTCAATCTTTTCCAGCATCAGGGTCTTTACCAATGAGCCAGTTCTTCCTATTAGGTGCCCAAGTATTAGAGTTTCACCTTCAGCATCAGTCCTGCCAATGAATATTCAGGACTGATTTCCTTTAGGATGGACTGATTTGATCTCCTTGAAGTCCAAGGGACTCTCAAGAGTCTTCTCCAACACCACAGTTCAAAAGAATCAATTCTTTGGTGCTCAGCTTTCTTTATAGTTCAACTCTCACATCCATACATGACTACTGGAAAAACCATAGCTTAGAGTAGATGGACCTTTGTTGGAAAAGTAATGTCTCTGCTTTTTAACATGATGTCTAGGTTGGTCACAGCTTTTCTTCCAAGGGGCAAGCATCATTTAATTGCATGACTGCAGTCACCATCTGCAGTGATTTTGGAGCCCCCCAAAATAAAGTCTGTCACTGTTTCCATTATTTCCCCATCTATTTGCCATGAAGTGATGGGAGCAGACAGCATGATCTTAGTTTTCTGAATGCTGAGTTTTAAGCCAACTTTTTCACTCTCCTCTTTCACTTCAATCAAGAGGCCCTTTAGTTCTTCCTTGCTTTCTGCCTTAAGGGTGATGTCATCTGCATATCTGAGGTTATTGATATTTCTCCCAGCAATCTTTTTTTTTTTATTAGTTGGAGGCTAATTACTTCACAATATTGTAGTGGTTTTTGTCATACATTGACATGAATCAGCCATGGGTTTACATGTATTCCCCATCCCGATCCCCCCTCCCACCTCCCTCTCCATCCCATCCCTCTGGGTCTTCCCAGTGCACCAGGCCCGAGCACTTGTCTCATGCATCCAGCCTGGGCTGGTGATCTGTTTCACCCTAGATAATATACATGTTTCGATGCTGTTCTCTTGAAACATCCCACCCTCGCCTTCTCCCACAGAGTCCAAAAGTCTGTTCTATACATTTGTGTCTCTTTTTCTGTTTTGCATATAGGGTTATCATTACCATCTTTCTATATTCCATATATATGTGTTAGTATACTGTAATGGTCTTTATCTTTCTGGCTTACTTCACTCTGTATAATGGGCTCCAGTTTCATCCATCTCATTAGAACTGATTCAAATGAATTCTTTTTAATGGCTGAGTAATATTCCATGGTGTATATGTACCACAGCTTCCTTATCCATTCATCTGCTGATGGACATCTAGGTTGCTTCCATGTCCTGGCTATGATAAACAGTGCTGCGATGAACATTGGGGTACACATGTCTCTTTCAGATCTGGTTTCCTCGGTGTGTATGCCCAGAAGTGGGATTGCTGGGTCATATGGCAGTTCTATTTCCAGTTTTTTAAGAAATCTCCACACTGTTTTCCATAGTGGCTGTACTAATTTGCATTCCCACCAACAGTGTAAGAGGGTTCCCTTTTCTCCACACCCTCTCCAGCATATATTGCTTGTAGACTTTTGGATAGCAGCCATCCTGACTGACGTGTAATGGTACCTCATTGTGGTTTTGATTTGCATTTCTCTGATAATGAGTGATGTTGAGCATCTTTTCATGTGTTTTTTAGCCATCTGTATTCCCAGAAATCTTGATTCCAGCTTGTGCTTCATCCAGACCAGCATTTCTCATGATGTACTCTGCATATAAGTTATATAAGCAGGGTGACCATATACAGTCTACCAGTCTGTTGTTCCATGTCCGGTTCTAACTGTTGCTTCTTGGCCTGTATACAGATTTCTCAGGAGGCAGGTCAGGTGGTCTGGTATTCCCATCTCTTTCAGAATTTTCCACAGTTTGTTGTGATCCACACAGTCAAAGGCTTTGGTGTAGTTAATAAAGCAGAAGTAGATGCTTTTCTGGAACTCTCTTGCTTTTTTGGCAATCCAACAGATGTTGGCATTTTGATCTCTGGTTCCTCTGCCTTTTCTAAATCCAGCTTGAACATCTGGAAGTTCATGGTTCACATACTGTTGAAGCCTGGCTTGGGGAATTTTGAGCATTACTATGCTAGCAATGTGAGATGAGTACAATTATGGAGTAGTTTGAACATTCTTTGGCATTGCCCTTCTTTGGGATTGGAATGAAAA